GTCACAGCTCACAGCCCTCTCAAACTCTTGGGCTTAAGCAATCCTCTTGCCTCAGCCTCCCAAGTAGCCAGGACTATAGGTGCCCACCACAACACCTGGCTATTTTTTGGTTATAGTTGTCTTTTTTTTTTTGGCAGGCCTGGGCTAGATTTGAACTCACCAGCTCCCATGTATATGGCTGGTGCCCTAGCGGCTTGAGCTATAGGCACCGAGCCAAGAATCAACATTGTTAAAATGTCCACACTACCCAAAGCAATCTATAATGTAATCCCCATCAAAGCACCAATGTCATACTTTAAAGATCTTGAAAAAATAGTACTTTGATTCATATGGAACCAGAAAAAACCCCAAATAGCAAATACTGTTCTTAGAAATAAAAACAATTCTGGAGGCATCATGTTGCCAGATTTCAGGCTATATTACAAGGCTATAGTGATCAAAACAGCATGGTATGGACACAAAAATAGATACAGTCTATAAAATAGGATAGAGAACCTAGAGATGAACCCAGCCACATATTGGCATTTAATCTTTGATAAGCCTTACAAAAACATGTGATGGGGAAAAGAATCCTTATTTAACTAATGGTGCTGAGAGAACTGGTTATCCACATGCAGAAGACTGAAACTAGACCCGCACCTCTCACCACTGACAAAAATCAATTCTTATTGGATAAAATATTTAAATTTAAGACACAAAACAATAAAAATTCTAGAAGAGAGTGTGGGGAAAATACTTGAAGATATTGGCTTGGGAAAAAACTTTATGAGGAAGACCCCCCTAGTAATTGCAGCAACACCAAAAATAAATAATTGGGACTTGATTAAGCTGACAAGCTTTTGCACAGCTAAGAGTACCACAAACAAAGCAAACAGACCTCAGAGTGGGAGATTTTTGCATGTTATGAATCTGAGAAAGGCCTGATAAATGGAATCTACAGAGAATTCAAATTAAACAATGAGAAAAGTGCAAACAACCCTCTCAGTAAGTGGGCAAGTGATTTGAACAGAAACTTCTTTGAGGATGACAGATGAATGGCCAACAGATACATGAAAAAATGCTCATCATCTTTAATCATCAGAGAAATGCAAATCAAAACCACTCTAAGATATCACCTAACCCCAGCAAGATTAGCCCACATCACAAAGTCCCAAAACACCAGATGCTGGCATGGATGTGAAAAGAAGGGAATACTTCTATACTGCTCATAGGATTACAAACTAATACAGTTCTTTTGAAGAGAAGTATGGAGAATCCTCAAAGATCTAAATGTAGACCCATTACTAGGTATCTACCCAGAAGAACATAAATAATTTTATCACAAAGACATTTGCACCAGAATGTTTATTGCAGCTCAATTCATAATAGCCAAGTCATGGAAGCAACCTAAGTGCCCATCAACCCATGAATGGATCAACAAACTGTGGTATATGTGTACCATGGAATACTATGCAGCCATTAAAAAAGATGGAGATTTTACATCTTTTACATTTACCTGGATGGAGTTGCAATACTTTCTTCTTAGTAAAGTACTGCAAAAATGGAAAGATGAATATCCAATATACTCCATACTACTATGAAATCAACATATAAACAATTACATGTTCCTAAGAACAATAAAACAGGATTATAGTCCAGTTTGGGGGTAGAGGAAAGCAGGAGGGGGGAGGATGTATGGGGGGCATGAAGCGGGATCTCGCCTAATGTGCACATTGTGAGGGTGTATAACATGCCCCCTGGATGAGGGCCTCTTCTACAAATGGAACTTTGCCCTAGAAGTGAGAACAATGTAACCTAAATATTGTACCCTCATATTAATTTGAATAAAGTTTAAAAAATTTAAAAAAATAAAAATTTGATGAAGAATATAAAAACTAATTCATTAACTGCTTTAATATCCTATCACAAGGATTTAATTTTTAAGGTGGCCTACAAAATCCCAAAAGTAAAAATTATATGACACAGTTTGATCCATGCAAAATGATGATATCTATGTGTAGATGCAATAAAGCAGTTGCAGGTTAGGAGATTAGGTATTCCAAATATAAAGTTTCAATCCTAAATCAGTTGAGCCTCCCATATGATTGATTCATATTGAAAGCCAAAAAAGAAATCTGAGGAAGCTGACAAAAATATGGAGATTTCCATTAAATTCAGAAAATAAGATTACAATATTTCATAATAATTATTCTCAAAGTGTCACCCTCAGATTAAACAGCATGAGCATCATGTGGGGAGTTGTTAGAAATGCAAATTCTTAGGCCTCACACCTCCTCGGATCTACTGAATAAAAAGCTCTGGTGGTAGGGATAAGAAATTTGTTTTAATAAGCCCTACAGGTAATTCTGATGCCCTCCCTAAACTTTGAGAATTACTGTTTCATAGTAAAAGCTATATATACTACCATAATTCTTATTGGTGCCTTCTAAAGAATAGAAAACAATACATTCTATCTACCAAGAACAATCAATTAGGATTTTATTAAGGAATTTAATATGATCAATAATTTAGTATTCTGGCCTGTGCAATTAAGAGTTTTATATGATAGGCAAAGAACCATGGGAAATAGAAGAGATTTTAGCAAAAATTCACAGCACGGTAAGTATTCTAAATTCTCGGAACAAATTAGAGCACTAAGCCCTCATAGGAATTAGTAAACAAAAGTCTCTCAATCTGAGAATAAGCTGTTTTAGTCCCTAAAAATAAAAGTAATAGTAATCCCTAAACTATTGCCCCATTCTTAGTACCCTACTTATTTATGGCTCATTCATTAGATAGATACCATTTTTAAAGTAGTACACTATACATTCTCCACTTAAACTGAAAGATTAAAGTCACCTCCAGTGAGTAGACAATTGGTATAGACTTAACACCATAAGCCCAAAGTCAAGATATCAGTCACTCTGAATAATCCTTGGAGTATCAATGGAATGGCAGTGGTCAGATCAGCACCAGGGCTGCTACAGTTATATAAAAACACTGACAGCAAGAACATGAAAATGCCTGACTCCTGTGTTCATTCATGATGCTGTTCTGATTTTTAGGAGGCAGGAGTGTCAATGATGAGCTTGTGAGGCTCAAAAAATGTATTTTTTGACAGATATGAATGTTTTGTTGGACAATAAGAATAATATTGATGGGTGAGATATCATTTGCAGACTATAACCAAACTAACATGTTTTTAGGCAGGCCAGTGAAAAAATTATCAGAGTTGGGAGTAGGGAACATGTATGGAGCAAGGCTGTGGAACTTTCCTTCACAGGGTATGGACAGCCTCTCTGGGACAGCCTGGGCGTGGATTTCTAGAAGTGATTCAGTAAGCACTGGAGCATAACGAGGTCCTAAGAATCTGATGCTAGGAGAAGAGAATCCAAGGATGTTACCTCTGCTCTTTAAGGACCTATGATCAGTGGTTCTCAACCTGTGGGTCATGATAATTATGTAATTACATAATTATGACAATTATATAGCAGAAACAGATGGTTATATAAGGAGATCTACAATTTCTCATAGTAATCAGGAGTTCTCATCAGCCCTTTTATTTGGCATTCTATATCCTTTTCATTCCTTCCTTCATTCACTCAGACTTACACTAAGCATTTCATTTCACACCACCCTTTGTGTAAAGCACTGGGAACATAAAGACCAGTCAGAAAAAATGGCTTCCAAAACCAGTTACAATTCTTGAGGAGCAGAACTCAATACTTTCTCTGGGAGAAAAGTCCTCTTCTCTTTCCTCGAAACTAAAGACTTCTCTTACTTCAATTTTCTCCACAAATCTTTGTAGATGAAGGTCATGTGTTTATTAGAGTCAATTATTCCAGTGATCTCCTGTCATTTGGGTTTATACATTTTACAAACTCTGTATGTTTTTTACTCCTCTTACAGATACCATCACTATGAAGCCCCTATTATATTAAAGCAACTTCCCATGAGTGTTGCTAAGGTTTGAATATATCCCCCAAAAGTTCATGTGTTGGAATCTTAATTCTTTTTATTTTTTGAGACAGAATCTCAAGCTGTTGCCCTGGGTAGAGTGTTGTGACGTCACAGCTCACAATAACCTCAAACTCTTGGGCTTAAGCAATTCTCTCAGTCTCCCAAGTAGCTAGGACCAATAGGTGCTCACCACAACACCTGGCTATTTTTTGGTTGTAGGTGTCATTATTGTTTGGTGGGCCCGGGCTGGATTTTAACCCACCAGCTCTGGTGTATATGGCTGGCACCCTAGCCACTTGAGCTATAGGCACCAAACTTGGAACCTTAATTCTTACCATGGCAGTATTGGGAGGTGAGGCCTTTAAGAGGTGACTGAGTCTTGAGAGCAAAGCCTTCATTAACTGATTAATGCTATTATAGTTAGAGCTAGTTCTTGTGGAATTAAGTTAGTTCTTGCAGGAGTGAATTAATTCTCACTGAAAGTGGGTTGTTATAAAAATGATCTCTGCTTGCTCTTTCAGTCTCTTTAGCATGGAAAAAGCAAATTTGTTTGCTTTTCCATCATGTTATGACATAGTATAAAAGCTCCTGCCAGAAGCTGCCACCATGCCCTTGGACTTCCCAGCCTCTAGAACTATGAGCCAAATCAACTTCTTTATAAATTATTCAGTCTCAGGTATTCTGTTATAGCAACAGAAAACAGACTAAGACAGGTGTTATGTAATTAATTAATGTTCTGTTTCTCTTTGAAGACTAATAAATGCTATTAATCATTGAGTCAGACTTAAGAAATCCTGGTCTCCAAAAACGTTATTATAATTTCATACTGGCCTTCAAACAGTTTCATCTTATAAACGGGCATGAATATCCCTAAATAAATGAACTTGACTTTAAGTACAGACATATCAAAATCTAATATAATCTGCCACTGATCTGAATGAATTGGTAAACATGGTTGTGACTTTATACTATAAATATATAATTAGCCACTCTTAAGTTCCTCCCAAGCAGCACACAGATAACCATGAGAGCATTCACTCCTAAGTCAAAGATGCAAATACCTGATAGAAGGCTGTGGGAGAGTATCTGGACTGGCTGGTACCTGGACTCCTTTTTCCCATTCTTCCTTCCATGTATCAGTAAAGAGGTAATAGCTGTCAGGATTAATGTGGTGAGAATCTGGAATTTTCATGGCACTGATGAGGTCCTTCCGGAATACCTGGGAAGGTAAAGCACATATCTTAAGAAGATCATCACTATGGAACTAATACCATTTAATGTTCTTTTTAAAAGACTATCCCCATCTACTCTCCACTTCCAACAAGGCAAACATCTCTAACTTCCTAAATGGCCAGATCAACTTCTTTTTGGAAAGGTCTGAAGTACTAACAGGGAAGCCAGCTTATTCTGGATTTATTAAAGGGTAAAGGAGTTCTTCCTGAATTATTTTCTTGGGCTCCTTGAATTTTAATCAACAATACAGGTTACTCAAAAAATCTCTATGAAATAAACCTTAACTGTCTTCTTCTTTTTGTTTTTTTTTTTTTTTTTTTTTTTGAGACATAGTCTCACTCTGTTGCCCAGGCTGGAGTGCTATGGAGTCAGCACAGCTCATAGCAATCTCAAACTCCTGGTCTCAAGTGATTCTCCTGTCTCAGCCTCCTGAGTAGCTGCAACTACAGGTATCCGCCATGACATCTGGTTAATTTTTCGATTTTTAGTAGAGATGGGGTCTCGCTTTTGCTCAGGCTAGCTCAAACTCCTGAGCTCAAGGAATCCTCATGCCTTGGCCTCCCAGAGTGCTAGGCTTATAGGCATAAGCCACCATGTCTGGCCAATCCTTAACTCTCTTAAATTAAGCAATAAGAATCCACTGACAACTTATTTATTTGGCTATCACCTCATATTTAAATTATTTACTTAGAAATAATTTTGGACTTACACACCCTCTGTATATATAGGTGTGTGTGTATATATACATACATATATATACACACACACATATATCCATATACCAAAAATTGTAATACTTAAGTCATGTTTGACTTCTGCAATTATAAGAAATATAAGATAACACATGTTATCAGCACATACAGGGTATTACAATTTTAATATGGTTTTTCTTTCTTAAAATACATACATTTTTTGTACCCTCTGTATATATGCATACACACACACACACAAGTACTTGTCATGTATTTTGTAGCATGTCCCCTCCAATTTGGGTTTGCCTGATGTTTTCTCATGATTAGATTGAGATTATGCATTTTTTTGCAAGAATACCACAGAAATGATGCTATACCCTTCTTATTCCATTATATCAGGGATGTATAATATTGATGTTTTATTAGTGGTTATGTTAAATTTGACATAGTGTAGTAGAGTCTTGCTGTTTTTTTCCACTGTTAGGTTACTATATTTCCCTTTGTAATTAAATATCTTGGAGGAGATACTTTGAGACTATAAAAATATTCTTATTTTCCTCAAACCATCATGAACTAATTTTAATGCCAAGTGGTGAATATCTTACATACAATTTTTACTGTGGTATTTTAATGTATTTTCTATTTCCTTCATTCCTTCTATGATTATTAGTTGAGATTCTTATGTAAGAAAAGATCTGTCCTTTCCCCCTCATTTATTTATTTTATCCTTTATTTATAGCATTATAGACTCATAAATATCTATTTTATTCTTTGGGGTAGAATTCAGTATTATTGCCATTTATTTTGTTGCTCAAATTCCTCTATCTTTGGCCATTGGGAGCTCTTTAGTTTGATACCTGTGCTCTTTTGATTTTTTTTTTAACAACTCCTTAATTTCTAATACCACAACATGCTCCAAGTATGTTTATGTCCTCTAATTGGTTATAAAAACTATTGACTTTATATGTCAACTTCATATCCTACTACCTTATTGAATTCTTTTATTGCTTGAGTTAGTTTTATCATTGCTTTTCTACAGTTTTCAAGATAAAGTACCATATCATCTGCAAATAGCTTGCATCTTCTTTACATCTCTAAGTGTTTTCTCTTGTTTAATTGCACTGGTTAATACATCTACTAATATTATGATTAGTAATGGAGACAGTAGGCATGTCTGTCTTCTTCCTGAAATTAGTGGAATTTTAATGGGGAAAATGTTTCCTCATTAATAAGATACTAGGGTTTAGGACTAAGATATGTGCATTTTATAATGCTAAGAAACTATATTACAGTTACTGTTTAATTTTTTATTGTGACTACTGAATTTTGTTAAAGGCTTCTTCAGTGTATATGAAAATATGATTTTTGGCTCGGCTCCTGTGGCTCAAGTGGCTAAGGCGCCAGCCACATACACCTAAGGTGGCAGGTTTGAATCCAGCTCGGACCCACCAAACGACAATGACGGCTGCAACCAAAAAATAGCCGGGCGTTGTGGTGGGCGCCTGTGGTCCCAGCTACTTGGGAGGCTGAGGCAGGAGACTCGCTTGAGCCCAGGAGTTGGAGGTTGCTGTGAGCTGTGAAGCCACAGCACTCTACCTAGGGGGATAGCTTGAGGCTCTGTCTCAAAAAAAAAAAAAAGAAAATATGATTTTTCCTTAGATATATTAAATACACTGCATATTATTACAGTTCATAACACTGAAACAAACTTACATTTCTAGGATGAACATCACTTGGTCATGATGCATATTCTCTTAGTATGGTATTGTAGTCTGTTTTCTAATATTTGTTTAATATTTTTGGCTATTTATAAATGATACTGATCAGTAGTTTTCTTTTTTTTTGTTAGGTTTAAGTACCAGTGTTATACATGCTTCATAAAAGGTATTAGGACATTTTCCTTCCTTTCCAAGGCGCTAGAATAATCTCAAAATTACTGTGATTATTTGGTACCTGTGAAACCATTTGAACCCAGTCCTTTTTAGTGGGGGGGAGGTAGGTCCTTAATAACTTTCTCTACTACTTCTATGGAAATTGATCTCTTTATGGAGTTAATTTCAGTAATAATATTTCCATAGAAAATTATTTATCTTATTTAGGTTTTCAAATTTATTTGCACAGATGCCATAAAGTACAGGCAGTCCTACTTTGCACAGCAGTGTGGGACACTCATTGCAGCCTCTAATTCCTGGGCTCATGAGATCCTCCCAAGCAGCTGGGACTACAGGCGTGCCACCATACTCTGCTGATTTAAAAAAAAATTTTTTTTTAAATTTTTTTGTAGAGACTAGGACTCACTACATTGCCCAAGCTGGTTTAGAACTCCTAGCCTCAAGCAATGCTCCCACCTTGGTCTCCCACAGTGCTAGGATTACAGGTGTGAGACGCCATGACCAGCCTACTGTCTATTAACTTTAATGTCAAGGTATAGAGTTTGATAGATATTCATCAGATCTACTTTATTATTTATACTGTTTACATCTATCTCAATTTTTTGTTTACTTAATCTGTCTGAGACCATGACAGGTATTTTAAAGTCTACTATGATTGGTGTGTTTCTATGTCTCCTTGATACTCCTATAGTTTTTGCTTCATAAAGATGGTTCTTGTGTTATTCAGTGCATAAATATTCATAGGTATATCTTTGTGGTAAGTTATAGCCTTTATTGTTAAAAGGCCTCCTCTTTTGTCTTTGGGGCTTGAATTCTACCTTGTCTGATATCAGGATCGCTCCCTCTGGGCTATTTAAATTTCTATTTTCCTAGTATACCTTTATCTAGCTCTTTATTTTTAACCTTTCTGAATAGGTGCTTTAGGTCAGCTCTTATATATGGTATATAGTTGAATCTTATTTTGTGAGTCAAAAAGAAAATCTGAGTCTGAGCTGTGTGGAAAGCTCAAATGCTATTTATATTTACTGGTAAGATTTACATATTTGGTCTCAACTCTGTCATGTTTTATAATTATATGTATTATGTTATATTTTCTAGGCTTCCTTCTTTTTCTGCCATTGGTATATACTTTACTCTTTTATTTATACATATATTTTATGTTTTAGATGGGTTTTGTTCTGTTGCTGAGTTTGAAGGGTAGTTGTATAATCACAGTTCACTGCAGCCTGGAACTCCTGGGCTCAAGTGATCCTCCTGCCTCATGTCACCATGCCCAACTACTTTTTAACATTTTTGTAGAGACCTGGTCTCGCTATGTTGCGCAGGCTGGTCTTGAACTCCTGGCCTCAAGTGATCTTCCTGCCTTGGCCTCTCACAGTGCTGGGATTACAGGCATAAGCCACCACACTCGTCTTATTCATAAATATACTTTTTAATCTAGGAAGGCATGTAGTTTTATCCCAGTTGTTATCCTCATAGTTAGAACTTTTAGAAATGCCCTTAGTCTCATTCTCTTTTTTAAGGTTTTCCTACCTGGTTTATCAGTTAAAAAAAATTTTTTTTTGAGATAGAGTCTTACTCTGTTGCCTTGGGTAAGAGTGCCATGGCATCATCATAGCTCATAGCAACCTCAAACTCTTGGGCTCAAGTGATTCTCTTGCCTCAGCCTCCCACATACCTGGAACTAAAGGTGCCCACCATCACTCCTGGCTAGTTTTTCTATTTTTAGTAGAGAGGGGGTCTTGCTCTTGCTCAGGCTGGTATTGAACTCCTGAGCTCAAGGGATCCTCCACCTTAGCCTCCCAGATTGCTAGGATCAGTTTTTATTGCTACCAGTGAACTCCCTTAAGGGTAAGGAGAAGAAGAATGATTAAGGGTACTGTGGAACTCAGTGAGGGCCCAAACCCTGGAAAGGAGTCCCAGCTGTGTTTAAAATTCAAATGTCAGGGGTAGGAGACGATGCTATGGGTACAGCTACAACTTGGGCTTATATTATCCTCTGGTTGAGTGGGCCCCTAAGTGAAAAAGAGGTATAGAAATGTGTTCAGCAGCCTGGAAACATGATTTAAATGGCTGTGGAAGCCTTAACTTTGTGATTCTGCCTTTTCAAAAACAGAAAAGTATGTCATGAGGTCTGAAGCTAACCTGGCAATGATTCTGGTGATGAAGGCTTATTTAACATCTAAGCAATGAGGGGAACACTTTCACATAAAAGCATATCTACCTTGCTCTATATCTCATTATTATACCTATTATATCTACTAATTTCTACTCTGAAAAAATATCAAACAACCAATTGCAGGTATCAGATAAATATGTCCACATTTCTGGAAGATCAGAGGAAGAGATGCTTTTAAGCAAATATTTTAGACTTTATTGCTCATAAAGTTTCTCTGAGGAAAAAAACACTGTCCAAGTTCTATATAACATGAAAGTAAAGGCACAGGGCATGATCTAACAAAGTAATTCTCAGTGAATGTAGTTGAATTTATTTATTTTTATATTATTTTATTTATTTATTTATTTTGAGACAGAGTCTCACTATGTTGCCCTCAGTAGAGTACCATGGTGTCACAGCTCACAGCAACCTCCAACTCTTGGGCTTAAGTGATTCTCTTGCCTCAGCCTCCCAAGTAGCTGGGACTATAGGTGCCCACCATAACACCCGGCTATTTTTTTGTTGCAGTTGTCATTGTTGTTTAGCTGGCCCAGGCTAGGTTCGAACCTGCCAGCCTGGGTGTATGTGACCGGCACCCAACCCACTGAAGTATGGGCGCCACCCAGTGTAGTTGTATTTAAACGGACATAATTTCTCAGAGTATAGGACTAAATAATCATATAATCAAATGATGCCATTTAAACAAAGAAGGGCTTATTCCATTTGCTATTTTGCAGGGACAACTCTACAAATATTTGTTGGTTTCACCTACAGAAGATTTAGAGTTAATAATATGACCTGAGCAAATTAAAAGAAGAAATCTACCTTAAACATGCTAGTTGGCCAGGTAGCAACAAAATGATCTTCCTACCAAGACTCCTGGCCAATTAAAGTTAATTTGGTGCTGCACAGGGAACAAGCTAAGTCTACAGAAAGCAAAAATTGGTAGTTTATTACATAATACTTTGTGTAAATGTGTAAGAAGGGATCACAGACATATCCATTTAACGTGTTTTACACAGAGCACAGTGTTCTGAGTGACTAGTAGGAGACACTGAATCACCATTTTGTTTAGCACTCTGATCCATTTCTATAAATGGCCTTTAATAAGCCAGCAATTAAGTAGTGGTGGCAATTTACAATTGCGCTAAACTACTGTCTTTCTGAAAGAAGAGTGCTATACAGCTAGACAGAGTACTAGAGCCAAGGATTTATCAGTATCCTAAAGTATTTCATTATTTTCTAAGCAATACTCTTTACAAAATAGATTACAAAATTATGATTTGAGCTTAATAATACTACACCACTTAGTGTAGTATATAAATCTTAACACAATAACTAAGAAAATGAGGTGAAGGCTATGTTAACCAGTTTGATGAAAGTATTTCAAATTGTATATAAAATCAGCACATTGTACCCCATAATTGCATTAATGTACACAGCTATGATTTAATGAAAAAAAATACACCACTTAATCACACAGCACAAGCCATAACTGCTTAAGAAATCTATATAAGAACAGATAATCTGTTATAAGTAGCCTAGAAACATTTATATATATATATGTATTATTTATATACATACATATAAATATTAACATAATAAGTGAATGGTACATCCCCAAAAGGTATGTCCACATTCTAATTCCAAGAATCTGTGGATGTTACCTTATTCAGAAAAATAGTCTTTGCAGATGTAATTAAGTATCTTCAGATGAGGAGATTATTCTGGGATATGCATATGAGCCCTAAACTGAATGACAAGTGTCCTCATGAAAGAAAGGCAGAGGAAGATTTGAAACAGAAAAGGAGGAGGCAATGTGACCTTAGAGTATCGATGAATGCTGCAATCCACCAAAGGCTGGAAGAGGCAAAGAAAGGAATCGACCCTAAGATCTCTGGAGGGAGTTTCAACTAGCTGATTTTGGATTTTCTTACCTTCACAACTGTGAGGAAATGAATTCCTGTTGTTTTAAGCTACTTAGTCTGTAGTAATTTGTTACAGCAGCCCATGGAAACTCATACATGTCTGCCAAACAGAACAGTAACTTGAAGTCTAGACAAAAGGTGATATAAACGCAGAGGCCAGTGAAATCTGGTCCTTTTGTATGGCTGCAGAAATACCTAACCCTCCAAAAAAGAGGTACTCTGTGAAGTCTGGGAAACTTGAATTAAACACCAACAAACTTGTACTTGTTTTTAGTAAGCAAATGAAAACTAAATCCAGCGATTATAATGTTCCCTTCCCCTTTAGAGAAAAACAGCAGACATGTGATAAGCCTGATTTCAATTTTACAAACAAGCCAAATTAAACAGCATCAGATCCAAGTTTTCTACAGAAGCATTTTAAGTGTGAGAGTCTGCCTTATCTTGCTATAGATGTCAAACATCTAAAGAATGAGACAGAACATAAAATGTTGAAGAGGGAGATAGGAATGTAAGTTTAGTACTCAGATAATTATCTGAAAAGTGATATAAAAATATATTTAACCAAGCTGGTCTCATGAACCTGCTCCTGATAAGAAAAGGCATTTTAAGGTTTTTAAAACTGAATATAAACAAGATAGCTACAGCATCCTGGTTAGTGACATGAGTTTTACACACATACAGTGGCACATACATATACACATATTTGTATATGTTTTCATGAAGAGACAATAAAAGGATAAACCAAAAACTTTTTAAAAAGTTTACTGTAGAAGGGGAAGAAAACAGAGAAAGAAAGACACAGGCTGGATCTCTCTGAATGTATGTTGTTTCATAGTTTCAAGTTTGAACCAGACAAATGTTTTATATAATTAAAAAAAGAAAAGAAATATGGGTTCTGGGACAGACAACCTGGATCGATCTACTGGTTTCATTCCTTAGAACCTTTTGGCAAGTGATTCAAATTCTCTGTGTTTCAGTTTACTTGTGTGTAAAAAGGGGATAGCATTCACCTCACAGGGGTTAATGTAATGATTAAATTGGGTGAACATGTATAAAGGGCTTAGCATGGCATTTGGTTCATAGTAATTGTTAAGTAAATGCTAGAAGTAGTTATTTTCTTATGATCATCATAGTCTTAGATTTCCTTCTAAAAGCAGAAAGATGTACATCCCTAAGGTCTTCTATCTAATCCATAAAGTAATGGTTGCTGAGGTAAGAGAGATGTGAGTTCATGGTTCAATCAAAACATGCATGCTTTAGCTCCCAAAGATAGAGTTCCCAAGGAAGAGTTCCATCAAGAACTTTAACCCAATATTCCAGAGGCCAAAAGGTAACACAAAAACATCACAAAATAAAACATGGTCAATTGTTGCTATATAAAAAAGCTCATGAATGAGGGATATGGATGTTGACACTGACCTTTCCAAGTAATTAAGTTGAGAAGTTTTACAAGTTCTTAATAGTGAGCCTATTTTATATGCACTGTTAGTTTCTCCCCAAATTCCTACAACAAAAAGGTTTTGTACTTACCAGATAACTGCTCATTTATGGTCAAAGAGGAGATTCACAGGCTAACATACAGTCCAGAAGCTATGCCAAGTCCAACACTGTGTGTACATCTGGCCTCTCAGATGCTTGCAGAAACAAAAGATGCTTCACTATGAATTCAATCAGAACATCAGTGCTCAACCTGCCGGAGCCACAAAATGACAATGGCCTTCCTGGACAATGCTGGCTTTTACTATTCTCATTAATATCTCTCAATTGGCAGTTTCTTAAAGTATATCTAGTCTGAACATCTGTGTAACATTTTTCATAGGAAAAGCCAAAATAATTATTTCCTGTATAACAGAAAGTAGAACAATGTCTGGTCCATGTGAATAAAGCAGAGATTGATCAATTTTGACTAACAGTCACTGAAATCTGAGACTATACATAACTGACCACAAACTGATGTGCCACCCTAAAAGCATAAAACAGCTGTAAACTGGTAATTACATTTAATCAAAATTAACTATAATTGTACAATCTTAAGGCAAAAAAAGATTTTCAGTTTATCTAGAAGAATCAACCACTTAAAGCAGAAAAAACCTAGCAAAGAGTATATAAGCCTGTTCTTACATGATAACAAAGGTACCCAGTATTGTTAAGACATTGTATCCCACACTAATTTTTCCAATGAATTAAAGCTTATTCAGTTTCTAAATTTAAAACTCTGAAACCTATTGAAATATTTTTCATGGAAATATTTTTTCAAATAGTTTAATTTTCAGCTTTCTTATAAAGAATAAACACAACATTCCTGGTGACTATTGGGCTGACACCAACTGGAACATCAACTACCATAAAGCAATGTACTTTTGAGTTGCTTAGGTAAATTGTATTTTGTCCCCTACTCTGTACCAAATGGAGTTTTATGTAACCTGGTGATGGAGAAGGGGGAGTAATCAAGTGTGACATGGGGATCTGGGCAATTTTCATTCAAGAAATGACATTGAGGTTTGCTGTGCAAATTATTCTCCTTTCTCCTTTCCTTCGATGTCCCTTTTTGGGCAATAATTGTGCATTTACAGCTTAGTGTTCTTTAGAAATACAGGTAAAATGGCTAGGTGCAGTGGCTCGTGCCTGTAATCCCAACAGTTTGGGAAGCTGAGGTGGGAGAATTGTTTGAGGCCAGGAATTCAAAACAGCCTGGGAAACATAGTGAGACCCCCATCTCTACAAAAAATAATTTGAAAAATTAGCCACACATGATGGT